CTTCAATCCACCTCTACCGCAAAACAAAATCGAAACGAAAACGGCCCACGCGATCACCAAAGCACCCTTTAGGTCCAGCCCTGCGCCTGAATGGGAGGCCCATGATGCCCTCGCGGTTCAAGGGCGCGCCTCTTGCTAGGGACTTCCGAGGAGGGAACCTGGGACGGGAGCGCGTGTGCGAAAACACCGCTGCTACATCTAGGGTTGACTGTAGACCCCCTCCTCCTCGTGCCTCCTCCTCGGTCTCCTCTCCTTGCCTCATCCACCCTCTGCTTCCTCTTTCGTCTCCACCTCCCCTCCTCTCCCTGCTCCTCGTCCTCCACCTCCTGTTCGTCCTCCTCGTCCTCTCCCTCCTCCTCCTCCTCTTCCTCCTCCTCCTCATCCTCCTCCTCCCGTCCCCGCTCCTCTTCAGTGTCACCCTCTCGGCCTCCTCCTTCGTTCTCCTCCTCCCTCTGCCACCCCTTCCGCTGTCATACAAACTGGGTGAACATTTTCCCTGGACGAGGGCGCGGGCGGAGGGTTCTTTTTAAAGGTTTCACCCCTGGCCGTGACACGACGAGGACCGACGACATTACTTGCGATCAGTAGTTCGGGAAAACACCGCTTAGTTTCAAACGGATGCGTGTCGCGCGCGCCCGTTCGAAAAAGGTGCGCCCCCATCCTGGATCCTCGATCAATAACGGGGTCCGCAGACCCCGATTTCCCTCGCACAAAACGATCTTCGCCAACGATTTCCCTCGCTTCGAACCCGCGAGAATACCAAAGTCTAGCGCCCCAGGGCAAGACAAACGTGAAATCACGTCGGTTCCTAACGCCCCAGACCGGGACGAGCGTAGAAGCACATGGGCTCCAAACGCACAGCAGGAAGAACGTGAAAGCACGTGGCTTCCTGACGCCCCAGAGCGGGACTACCGCGATGTCTTGTTTTGCGTCGGCGGCTAGGGGATGGGCAGAGTAACTGCGCTGGCGAAGGAGCCAACTGAACGGAGGTACCGTTGTTGCGAATTGTGCCACAACGCATGAGAAACAGAAAATGGGCAGGACGGGCGGCCGAAGGGGGGGGGAGGCAAAGGCGAGGGCCACTCAGGGGGACGGGTCACGCCCGGAGCGCGTGGCTCGGCCGGCCCCGCCGGCAGGGAGAGCGGCGACTGCTGCGCCAGGGTTCCCGCGGCGGCGGGGCGCAGCGCAGGTACCAGAATGAGCCCAGTGGGTCAAGCTTGCGATGCACACAGAGGCCTGGGCCACCATGCGACGGCAGCGCGTCCCCCCGGGTTGGGGTGCGGACGGGGCGTGCCCAGCTAAATGCTGGGCCGGCGGAGGCGGCGGGCGGCAAGACCCAGCGGGGGGCACCAGCACGGCGGCTGCAGGCAGCCACCCTGCGCCATGGCGGCGCGCGGGGGGGGGGAAAGCGAACGGGGAGGGCAGAAACGAACGGGGAGAAGGACGCCCCGCCTGCAGAACCCGCAGGCGGGGCGGCGGCGCCGGGCAGCAGCGGCAGCGCCGGGCTGCACCACAATCGCGAAAAGACACGGGATCCTAACCCTTCAGAATGGGACAAGCGTGAAAACACATGGGTTCCTAACGCCCCAGATCGGGACAAGCGTGAAGACAGTCGGGTTCCTGACGCCCCAGGGCGGGATAAGCGTGAAATCACATGGGTTCACCCCTCCTCTTCGGCGTGTCCCCTGGCTCGTCCTCTGTCACGTTCACTGGCTTGTCCCATGACGCGTTCCCTGCTCGTGGCGCGTCCCACACGTCCCTGGCGTATCCCCTAGTGCGTCCGTGGCACATTCCGTGGCGAGTCCATGCGCCCTACCAGTACAGCCAGGATCCGGATGCTAAGGGCGAGCTGATCCACAACAAGATAAAGCTCAACGCAATTCCTCGCGGCATGGCACAACTAATTTCAGCACAGCGCAGCACCACATAAATTCTTGCATGGTACATCACGATCGATACCTTCAGCAGTGCAATTGCCTGTCACCGAACTAAGTGTCTTGCAAACGTAGCCATGCCTCGCGTTTCGAAATTCCTTTATGGGTTCGTGGGTCGATCATGTTTCCCGAAAAGGGCGTGGGCCCAGGGTTCTCTTAGTTGTGTCCCACTGGCTTCACTCGGAAATAAATAAGAATCACGCGTAGGTCCAGCGAGTTCTAACATTGAGGGTGCCCCCAGCGACATGCTGGTTTGCGAAAAGCCGAACAATTAAACACAAGGTTAAGTATACATATGTATACATGTCCTTTGCGGATGTCTCGAGCGAAACACCTGGGTGCTAGAATTCAGAAGATGTCTGAAGCGAAATGCTTGTTTTCACGTGCCCACAACGCGACATGGCGCGTCTCAGCTCATCACAGCACAGCACAGCCCCTGACACTGTATATCACCATCAATGCTTTGAGCATTGTAATTGCCCGTCGCCCAGATTCGGTTTCTTGAACAATTTTCACGCCTGCCTGACATGTCTAGATTCCTTTCCGGGTTCGTGGGTCGATCATGTTGTCGATCAAGGTGCGGGGCATGTGTTGGTCGAAGAAGTGCATCTCGTGCGTGCCCGCTCAAGGCAAGTACGCCAAGTGGGGTATCTAACATGAGGTCGACGGCCTCTTCGGACGTGAAAATAGATGCGCAAAAGGGGGTATCGCACATGCGTCTGGCGCCCGTGAATGAGCCACGTGCTGTTGCGTGTCCAGGCCGCCCAGTGGAGTAACTAACCTGGTTCTCTAGACCTGAGACCATACGTTTTACGTTTCCAAGCCGCCCAAGGGGTATATGGGGGTATCTAACATGATTGCCCCGAGCTGGAACCACGTGGTTTTCACGAGCATGGTGATCTCGAGCATGGTTGTCAAGGCCACCTAGGGTCTCGAGCATGGTTGTCCCGAGGAGTGACCGCGTGTGTTCACGTGTTCTGGCCACCCAGTTGGATATTTAACAACATCTTGCTTTACTTGCCTGGGCCACCCATGGGGGGGGTATCTAACATGAGTGCCCCGAGCTGGATCCACGTGTTTGCGTGACCAGGCCACCAAAGGGGGGTATCTAACATTGTTGTTCCGAGATAGAACCGCGTGGTTGTACGTGTCCACGCCGCCCAGAGCTGTCTGCCATGGCGTCGGGCCCAGCGCCGACTCATCAGGAAACGAACGGGGGGCCGAAAAGCACCCTCCGAGCACGTTTCACAGTACAGAAGAGCAAGGTTTCTCTGTTCTGGACATATGGTGGTGTTTTGGGGGCCGTGTTAGAGAAGACGTTGCGAGGATGTCTCGAGTGGGAGCGCGAATTCAGCGTATCCAGGCCACCCTGTGGGGTATCTTTACACGGATGTCCCGAGCTGGAACCACGTGATTGTACGTCTCCAAGCCACCCATGGGGGTATCTAACATGGTTGTCTCGAGCAAAGATCACGTGTTTTTCACGTGTCCAGGCCCCAAAGGGGGCCTCTAGCATGGTTGTCTCGAGCTGGCACCACGTGTTCCAACGGGTCCAGGCCACCCAGAGGGTACGTAACATGCTTGTCCCGAGCAGGGGCCACGCGCTTTTACGTGTCCACGCCGCCCAGGGGGTATCTAACATGGCGTCGTGCCCAGCACAGAATTATCAGGAAACGCACGGGGGGGGGGGGGGGGGCGAAAAGCGCATCCCGAAGACATCCCATAGCGCACAGCACAATTCAACGCGGCATGGTACAGTTCAACTCAGCACAGCACAGCACAGCCCGTGGCACGGTACATCACCATCGTGACATCGAGAATTGTAATTGCCCGTCGCTCGAGCTCGGCGTCCTGGAAACGATTGCATGCTTCACAGTTCTATATATTTCTCTGGGCTGGTGTGGGGGGGCGGCCTGACCCAAATACTTTTGCATCTTAAGCTCGAGCTGCTTGGGGAAAACCGAGGCTGACAGAACTCACTTGGACGAACGTGCAGTCATTCCTGGCGGATTATTCTGCTCTGGAAATGGGGGGATCTTCTGCGCAACCTCCGCGGAGTTCTTCGTGGCCCTGGGAGCGCGTACGAGGCATCTTAGCCCTAGGAGCGCGGACGCAGTGTCATTTACCAGAGACCGTGACCCTTGGGCACGGTCCTTGGCACTTTCCTTGGCGCCTTTGCTGGGCACGTCGCGCGGCCCGTCCCTGGAGCGTCCGCTGGCACGTTCCGTAGCGCGTTCCCCTCGCACGTTCGGTGGCGCGTCCCGTGACGCATCCCCATGGCACATCGCGCGGTGAGTTCCCTGTCACGTCCCCTGGTGTGTGCCCTGGCACGTTCCGTGGCTCGTCCCGGACGTCCCCTGGCATGTCATTTTGCGGCGCGGCACAGTGCAGAGAAGAACAACACAGCCCCTGGTACAGTATCATCACCATTGATATCTTCAGCACTGCCACTGCCCAACGCCTAATTGAGGTACACTGAAGCGTTCCAAAGCCTCGCAATTCTAAATCCTTTTCCGGTTTCGTGGGTCGATCATGTTGAAATATGTTCAACAACTCCGGAAGTCTCCTGGGCCCTCTGGAAATCTCTGGAGTGTCTTTCTCCACCATCATTTCTCCACCTCCAACATTCACTTCGCCATCCTCTACCCACCATCCTCGTCCGTTGCCCTCCTCAATCTCCGTTCTCCTCTCCTCCATACCCATCGGTCGGAAGAAGTAGGTAGGAACATGAAGTAGGAAGACGTTGCAAATAGATTGGGTGTCCGCTCGCCCCCCAAAGAGGACGGAAACGGTGAAGCCAACCGATCATTGAAGTAGGAAGGCGCTTAAAGTAGATTGGAATCTGGGAATCCCAAAATGCCCACTTTCAACGACCGATGGGTACCCCTATCCCCGTTCCCCCCCTTCCCCCCTTCCCCTTCCATGCTCTCTGCGTTTTGCTCTACCTCTGTCGATTTTCTGCACCTTCTCCTCTGTCCCACACTGGAGGTCCTGCCTAGACTCTTGACATGTATGTTCGCAGAACCTCATTCTGGCTTCCTCCTCAGTCCCCTCCTTTGCCTCAACCCTCATCCAGCCAGGCGGCCCTGTCCGCTTCCGAAAACAGCAGGGACCGGGGCAGCGGATGGACAGTACCAGCGACGCCCGCGCGAAGCGGCTTCCGTGCCGCGGTCTGCCGAGAGAGGACCAGTGGATAGAGGAGGAGAGAAGCGTGAACAGAAACTCTGAGTTCAGCACGGACTTCTGCGATCGGCCCTGGACTCCTCTGGCGCCGCCTCTGCCGCCGGACCTGCCGCACTGCGCGCGCCAGCGGGGTGTGTCCACCGCTGGTCCAGATCCGCGCGGAGGCCCGAAAACTGACAATCATGTATGCCGATCTTCTTCGGGACAGTAGATGGACAATATATTCGAACCCTCGCACATTCGAGGGAGATTCTAAATCACCCCCGCGCCCCCGACATCAATGTTGATCTCAGCAAAGGCGGTGCTTTGGGGGTTCGAATATTTCTGTCCACTCACGCCCCCCCCGTCGCCACTCCATCAATATTAAATTCGGGGGTTCGGGGGGGCGTCTTGGGCCACAGGGTTCGAATATAATGTCCATGTACGGGAGGAGTCGAGTGGCATAGGCTGGGGCTCTTCTTGGACGCCCAGATTCTACGGGGCAGCTGCGGTCCCTGGTAATTCTCCGGCTTGGGCCCCCGAAGCACGAGCCCGCAGCTATACCCCTGACTGACCCCGGCCTCGACGGTTCGGGAGGGCTGCGTGCCCGCATCATCGGGGATAAGTCTGGTCCGGGGAAAATGCAGCCTGGGCCACCGAGGCGCGAATCTGTATAGCTACCGCTGACTGTCCCCAGTCCTGACGATTCGGAGCTCTGCTTTTCCCGCGCACTCCTCGCCCCCCCTCCTCGAGGAAAGCACCACGTAGTGGAGCCTTGTTTCCCCCCCTCTCGTGCCTTGCGACCCCCTCCCCCCCCCCCCCACAAACAAAAAAGCCCGACGACGGACCTAACCATATGCAGCTGTGAGCACCGTCGTTGCGTGCACCGCCTTCGGAGGAGCTCCCTACAGGGCCACGAAACGCATGAGGGTAGTGCCAAAATGGGCGCGGTGGGCGCATGCGAAAGCAGCGCCTGGGGCCGTCGGTGGAGCTCCCTGTGGGGCCATGGAGCGAGAGAGGGGTGTTCCAAAATGGGTGCGGTGGGCGCCTGCGAACGCAGCCGCTGGGGCCAGCGGTGGAGCTCCCTATGGGGCCACGAAGCGTGTGAAGGCTGTGCCATAAATGGATGAATGCAGTGGGCGCATGCGCACGCAGCCACTGGCAGGCGGCCCCAGCATCGAATCGATAAGCCGGGTCGGGTCGGCCGGAGCATCGAATCGGCAGAAATCGGCAAAAGCCGGCAGCCAAATCGAAATCGGCTGAGGTCGGCAGGTCCGAGCCGGATCGAGTCGGAAACCGGACCGCGTGCAGCCGGATCGGAATCGAAATCGAACCCCCCCCTGGGGGGGGGGGGTTTGGACTCCCCCCCTGGGGGTGGTTTGGGTTTTTGGACTCCCCCCCTGGGGGCGGGGTGGGTTTTTGAACCCCCCCCCTGGGGGGGTTTGGGTCTTTGGACCCCCCCCCTGGGGGGGTTTGGGGTCCCGGGGGTTTTGGAAAACCCCCCCCTGGGGGGGGGGGGGGGGGTCCCGGGGTTTTGGAAAACCCCCCCCTGGGGGGGTTGGGGTCCCGGGGCTTTAGGAAAACCCCACCCTGGGGGGCGTTTGGGGTCCAGGGGCTTTTGGACCCCCCCCCCCGGGGGGGGTTGGGGTCCCGGGGCTTTTGGAAAACCCCCCCCTGGGGGGGGTTGGGGGTCCCGGAGGGACCCCTTTTGGAAAACCCCCCCCTGGGGGGGGTTGGGGGTCCCGGAGCTTTTGGACCCCTCCCCCTGAGGGGGGGGGGGGGGTTTTTGGACTCCCCCCTGGGGGGTCCTCCTCCCTCCTCCTCCTCCCCTTGGGGGCCAGAGCCGGAGCGAAGCCAGATCGGCAAAAGCCGGCAGAAATCGGCTGACGCATCGAATCGGCAGAAGCTGGATCGGGCGACCTCGAAATCGGAATCGCGAATCGGAATCCCGGAATCGAGTCGGTTCGAAATCGGAATCGCGGAAATCGATTCGAATCGAACTGGCGGAATCGGAATGACCCCTGCACTGGCGCAGTCGGTGCAGCTCCCTGTGGGGCCACGGAACGAGCGCGTGGTGTGCCACAATGGGGCGCGGTGGGCGCATGCGAACGCAGCCACTGGGGCCGCAGGTGGAGCTCCCTTTGGGGCCGCGACGCGTGTGAGGGTGTGCCAAAATGGGTGCGGTGGGCGCGTGCAAACGCTGGCATGCAGACCGTCGGTGGAGCTCCCTATGGGGCCAAGGCGTGCGAACGCAGCCACTGGGGCCGCCGGTGTAGCTCCCTGTGGGGCCACGAAACGTGTGACGGGTGTGCCAAAATGGGTGCGGTGGGCGCATGCGAACGCAGCCACAGGGGCCGTCTGTGAAGCTCCTTGTGGGCCACGGAACGTGAGAGGGGTGTGCCAAAATGGAGGCGGTGGGCGCATGCGAACGCAGCCACTGTGGCCGTCGGTGGAATTCTGTGTGGGGCCACGAAACGTGTGAGGAGTGTGCCCAAGTAGGTGCGGTGGGCGCATGCGAACGCAGCCACGGCCATCGGTGGGGCCCCCTATGGGGCCACGAAACGTGTGAGGGGTGTGCCGAAGTAGGTGCGGTGGGCGCGTGCGAACGAAGCCACGGGGGCCGTCGGTGGAGCCCCCCCGTGGCGCCGCGACGCGTGTGAGGGTGTGCCAGAACGGGCGCGGGGGGGCGCGTGCGAACGCAGCCCCGGGGCCGTTCCACAGGCTGGTTTGTAAAAGCAGAGAGGCAGAACGTCTCGCACACTCCTGCAGGATCCTACAAGCTCCTGCGCGCAGGCCCAGGTCCGTACGCCCCTGGCCCTGCGGGGCCCTGCACCATCCGACGCTCTGGCCGACACCCTCGCATCAAGGCCCCCAACGCTAGGAATACTCCAGATTTCGTAATAAAAGGGAGGGGGTCTCAACCCTCCCAGACGAGAAGTTTTAGACCCCCCCCCCGTGGGAGAACCCTCCAAAACATCGTCCCCAGACCCCCCCAGGCCCTCCAAGATAGCCTGGAAGAGACCCCCCCAGAAATGAGACCCCCTCCCTTTTATTACGAAATCTGGAGTATGTGGCCTGCTCACGCACTCCTGAGCCAGGAACGGCTGTCACCTCTTGGAGGGCGCCTCTGTGTTGACTCCGCCCGCCTCCGCCAACGGACACTCGACGGCTTGGTTTCCGCGGGCCTTCCGCCGCCCTTCGCTGAACAGGACGGGTCAACCTGTCCGATCACTCGGAAGCGACGCCCTCTTCTGGGGGAGACGTAGGACTCGGGTTCGGGGGACTCGGGTTGGCCTGACGGGGCCATCATGAAAACGACGAGACCCAGTCTAAAATTCAACGCGAGCTCCTGCTGCAGACATCCCGCGACAACTGGGCCGTCAAAATCCAGGGCGGGCTCGTCAAAAACGTAGGCGAACCCGAGTTCCGGCGTAATCGAATCTTACCTTTCCTCGACTTTCGGGAACGCTCCGTACTTAGGCGTGGATCGAGGCGATCCGACGCGGGGGCGGGGCGCCCTGGGAGAGCTGTGAGGCGCCCGCGCGGAAAAAAACGCCCGCGCGGGCGACAGAAAAAACAAAAAAACAGACACGTGGGCCCGCAGCGACAAACAAAAAGCAGGTGGGCCCGCAGCGGCGAAGCCGCCGCCAATTACAAGTGAAACGCGTCCTCCTCTTCCTTGGCCTCTTCCTCGTCCTCTCCCTCGTCCTCTCTTAGCCCTGTTCCTCCTCTTCCCCGTCCTCGTCCTCTTCCTCGTCCTCTTCCTCGTCCTCGTCCTCTGTTGCGGCAACGTCCTTCTCTTCCTCGTCCTCTTCCGCGTTTTTCCTTGACCGTGTCTCGCGGGAAATTTGTCATGTTTTGTCGTACGACAAAAGACCCCCTCCAGTGACCAGCGGGGCGGGGGGCCCGAGACCACCCGGTCCAGCAGCGGTCCAGCAGCCGTTTCGCCCGAGACCTTTTTCAGGAATTGCTCAGGAGTCGCGTTCTCGCCTCAGCGCGAGCTCCCTGTTGGGCCCAGGCCGCCACAATTCCCACATCAGAGATGCACTCATGTGTGCGGGGCCGTGCTCGCCGTGCTCGTCCTCCTCTTCGTGTTGCGTCAGAACTAAATACCCGCGTACGCGGATTACCACCAAAAGAAGCATCTACTGTAGTTGCAGGTCGTCGTGCCGCCAGAGCTCCACTCCCGAGTACGCATCGAACGTAAAATAAACCCCCGTGGGGATACTCAGGAATTCGTGTGTTCACTACGCCAGCGTGTGTCCTGCAAGTCCGTGCGTTTCCAACAAGTCCGTGGGGATACTCAGGAATGCGCGTGTTCACTGCGTAAACACAAGAACGTTTGACTTGCGCTAATCTGAAAACATGCAATCCTGCGGCGAACCAAATGTGTACATGATTTCTTTTAGATGTGAGCGCTTCTATGCTATAGAGATTGTTTGAATTGGGTTTACATTGAAGTATAAGACCCTAAAATAGAAACAGCTTGTCTACATATTATAAAACTTATTAAAGTCCCCAGCCCGCTTCATTAATGTGTTGTTACTGGAGTGCGTTGCTGGGGCACTGTGTTCCTCTCGTCTTTGTCATCATTGTCCTCCTCACCATCCTCCGCCCCTCGTTTGTCCTCCAGCTGGTTACCCCTTGTCATGTTCCTTCCCCCTCCCCTACAGCTCCCCATATTACCCCCCTCTCCTTCCTCCTCGAGCTACTCCCCCTCCTTTACCCTTTCTTCCATTTTCCCTTCATGTTCCCCCTCTGTCACCTTGTGTTTTTCCAGTGGATACCTTAGGCGAACTTCTCCTTAGCGCCGGTTCAACCCACCCTGGTGCGCGAATTTCCCGTCCTGTAAATTAACCTCGTACCCATCGCCTTCAAATTCGCTGCCCCTTCCTTTTCCTTCTGCCCCCTCCCGCGTCCTCATACTTGTTGTTCCTTCCTGTCCGTTCCTCATCGTCATGCGTTTCCGATTCTTCCTTCTCGAAGAGTACATCGCGTTTTCATTAAAAGTACACACATCAGCCGCCCCAGGATTGCGCTGACCATATGGTTGCAAAAACTGGGATCAATCGACAACCGATGAGCATTCGAGTTTCCATCAACGCAGCGAAACAACCCTCGTCTGTGCGACACCTTGACGAGCTCAGCGACTCGGCAACACTGGCTATCCAGTCCTACCAGACAGAACTGCTAAATCCCTCTGGAAGGAGTCAACGTTTCTGGTAACGCATGCAATGCCCTTCGGGCGACAACCGCGGCGTTCCCATCCGCTCATCACGTCGTCAGAATCTCGGGGCGCCCTGGTCCACGTAAAACTACACCAGGGACTTGCGCCCCCCAAGGCAAGGGCTTCGTCAAACAACTGCGGACCCTTGATTTCGAAGTCACTGCACTCTGCGCCAAAGCTTGGGCTCGCGCTTCCGATATCCGAATCCCTCGTAGGGGACATCTGCGTTCCCGACGCCGCGATCTCTCGTCATACACGGTGGCCGCGGGCCCTCGAAGTCACAAGTCTACCAAGCAATAACTCAGCACGTGGAGCTTTCCATCTGCGCATCTATTTGCGCGGACCGTTCCCCCAATATGTCTCGGCACAAGAGACCCCGCGTAGAAACGAGCTTGAGTATGGACAGGCTGGGAATGAGTCTAACGGTGAATGAATTCGAGCGCGAATGAATCCCAATGGTGCGAGTTGGCGTATGTATGCGCGTGCGTCTAGATATGGCTGAGCAAATTATGGGCGCATGCGAACGTCAATAGCCTGATCGTGACCGAGCGGGGCTGAACCGACATGGCTAAGCAATGCCTCTCTCTCTGTTGAAGCAGGAACGTGATTGCTCTTGCAGGCGCCGTGCAAGACCCTTGCACTTCGTTCGCTGTCACAGAAGCCCCTACGAAGTGGCTCACGCAAGCAGCTCACGCGACGCGCCGCGCGGAAGGGGGGAGGGTTTGCTCGCGGCCACGCGCTGGAAGCTCACGCGCCAGAGCCTCGCCGGGCAAGCGGACTGCGGCAACCCAGGCACATGGCGCGAAGGACGCGTGGCTCGTCTCTCCAGCGGCAAGATCAAGTCCTGTTCGCCGCCAGGACGGGAAGCGTCGTCGGCAGGCGCCGTCGGGTCAGACCGTCCGCGCTCGGCGTCGAGCCGATGAGTCAGGCGACAAGCTTCACTTGGCATCGAGCAGCGCGCGGCTGTGCTCGCGGGACAATGAAAAATGAGACGTCGCCACTTGGGCGCCGGGCGGGTAGCTTGGTCATGCTCGCGCAATGGCCATGCAACAACTCACCAGGTTGCCCATGAGACCGTCGGCACATGGCATCGGGCCACAGAAAGGCAAAGCAGCGACTCTTTCTCTCTGGCAGCGCCAGGCCGCCACCTCGTTCTTCCCGGCAAGCAGAACGGCTATCTCCACCGTTAAACCTCCCTTCTTCCGGAAGCGTTTGGGGGCCTCCTTCGCCGACTTCGGCTGGCCTTTTTCCGGCGGGCAGCGAGGGGGCGGCCGCGCCGGCATCATGTCCGCCATCTGGGTGGCGGAGAAGAACGTCGCATAGATGTTCGGCCGCCATGCGTCGCCATCTGCGCCGCGCGGCCCCGGGGGATCCTGGCGCGCGCAGTCGGTGGTCACTGCGCCGCGCATCGTCTGCTCCTGCGAGGCCGTCGTCGCCTGGCAGTGGGCGCGCGAGAGCCCGGGGCCGAGGCGCTTCGCGACGTGCGCCACGGACGACGACTCTCAGGCGAAGGCGGGCCCCATCCAAGGCATGCAGCGCAAGCCGCGAGCAACTATTTCTTTGCAGCCTGCGCTTCGTTGTCCACGTTGACGATGAACTCTGTCCACGCAGGGGCTGGCTGGACATTGTCGAACTGCGGCCAAATGCCCGTCCAGGAACGGGCCGGCCTGGAGATATCGCCCGGGCGAGCGTTGTCGCAGTTCATCTGGTCGCCCGCATCGAACCAAATCAACGATGATGGCCCGCTGCTCCTGGGCGAGGCCGCGCGCTCCATTGGATTCGCCAGCGAAGAGACCCCGCGTTCGCGCGCGAGCAGGGGGTGCGCCGAGGGCCCTGCCTGCGCGGTAAATGCCAGCCACGTTCAGCCCCTGGAGCAGGCCGCCCCCCCCGCCCCTCGCGAGCGCTAGAGCCCGCGCGCTCGGGCCGCGGATGAGTCTGGCCGCTGGACTGAACAACTCGCCCGAAAACCTTCGCAATGTGGGCCTGCCGAGGCGCGAAAACCAGGGCCTCGCCAGAGACGCCCTCGGACTCTGCTCTGAACGCAGACGAGCCTGGCCACCGGAACAAGCAAACCGCCCGACGCGCCCTTGCAATCCGAGCCCCTGGCGGCGCTGAAACCAGCGCCCCGCTCGAGACATCCGCAGAAATTGCCCCTGGCGCAGACGAGCCTGGCCACCGGAACAACCGCGCCCGAGACACCCTCGCAATCTGGGGCCTCCGGGGCGAAAGCCAGCGCCTCGCCCGACGCGCTTTCGTAGTCTGCTCCAAAATCGGAGGGCGCCTGGCGAACCGCGCGAAAAATCACCGCAATCTGCGCGCGGACGGAGGGGCAAGATGACCCCTGGTGGCCCCCCCGTCGGGCGCGCCGAAAACCGCGCCCCGCCCAAGACACCCTCGGAGTCAGCTCTGAGCACGAACGAATCTTGCCACCGACAGTACGCGCTGCGTGGAGCTCCCCATACGTGCATCTACGTGCATTGGCCGTTCTCCCGCTCGCGTTTAGGCGCGACAGACTTCGATGCTATAAGAGCATGGACATTGTCAGGCTGGGGGCGGGTCGCACGGTGGACTGAACGGACTCGACCGAGGACGAGTCTCAGCAATGCGAGTTGGGTGGATGCGCACGAGTCCGGATATGGCCCAGCTTCGGATGTGTGCATGCGCGCGTCAGTGGCCTGAGCGCGACCGAACGGGACTGAGTCGACATGGGCGCGCGACCCCAGGTGAACATGAACATGGGTGCATGGAGAAATTGCGCAAGACCCCTGCTCTGCGTTCGCTGTCGCAGAAGACCTCGCACCGCGCGGAAGAGAGAGAGAGAGAGAGAGAGAGAGAGAGAGAGAGAGAGAGAGAGAGAGAGAGAGAGAGAGAGAGAGAGAGAGAGAGAGAGAGAGAGAGAAAAAAAAAAAAAAGAGGGCTTGCTCGCGGCTTCGCGCTGGAAGCGCGCGCAAGTGCCCCGCCGGCGGAGCTAACACCGGCAATCCAGGCAAGAGCGCACGCTGCGAAGTGGGGGGCGCGCGGCTCGTTTCCTCAGCGGCCAGAGCAAGCCCAGTGCGCCATCAAAGCGAAAGCGTCGTCGGCAGACGCCGTCGGGCCAGACCGTCCGCGCTTGGCATCGGGCCGATGAGTCAGGCGACAATCCTCACTTGGCATCGAGCAGCGCGCCGCCAGGTGCACGGGGTACTGGGCAAATGGGTCGTCGGCGCTGGGCGTCGGGCCCGCAATTTGGTCGCGCTCGCGCAATGGCCATGACATGAACTGACAGGCTTGCTCCTCAGACCGCCCGCGGTTGACATCGGGCAACAAAGGGCTAAAACAACTACTTTCTTCTGGCAGCGCCATCCCGCATTCCTCGGCGGGCAGAACGGCCGCCCCCCCCCCATTCGAGCCCCCCTCTTCTCGAAGCGTTCGAGAGCCACCTTCGCCGACATCGCCGACCTTTTCTGACGGCCAGCGAGGGGGCGGCCGCGCCAGCGGCGCGTCCTCCATCTAGGCGGCGCGGAAGAACATCGCACAGATGCTCAGCCACCCCGCGCTGTCGCCAGCGCCGCGCTGTCCTCGGGGCCCCTGGCGCGCGCTGTCGATGGCCACTGCATCGCGCGTCGACTGCCCCTGCGAGGCCGCCGTCGCCAAGTAGCGGGCGCTCGAGAGCATGGCACCGCAGCGCCTCGCGCCGCGGGCGACGCCTCCCAGGCGAAGGTGGCCCCCATCACAATCATGCAGAACAGGCCGCGAGCATTTTTTCTTTGGCAGCCTGCTCTTCGTTGCCCACGCTGTCCATGAGTCCTTTCCACGCGGGGGGCTGCTCGGACTCGCCGATCCGCGGCCAAATGCCCGCCGGGGAACGGCGCGGTCTGAAGATCTCGCCGGGGCGCGGGTTTGCTACAGTTCGTCGGACTGCCCGCGTCGATTCGCGTCGATCGCGAAGTCGACGATGGTGGCCTACTGCTCCCGGGCGAGGCCGCGCGTTCCATTGCACATGCTTGCGGAGCGAACCTGCGTTCCCGCGCGAGCTGGGGCGCGCCGCGGATCCTGCCTGCGCGGCCGATGCCGGCCGCGCTCAGCATCCCGGACAGCGTGCCCCCTGACCCCTTGAGAGTGCCTGGGCCTGCGCGCTTGGCCCGCAGATACCGGGCCGGGCAAATCGCCTGAGACACCCTTGCAATCTGGGCCCCTCGGGGTTCGAAAACCAGCGCCTCGCCCCAGACGTCCTCCGAATCTGCTGTGAACGCAGGCGAGCTTGGCCACCACAGCACTGAAACCGCCCGAGACGCCCGCGCAATCCGAACCCCCTGGGGCGCGAAAGCCAGCGCCTCGCCCGAGACATCGGCAAGATCTGTTCCGAAGGTTGTTGTATTGGTAAACAAGCAAACGGCCCGAACGGACGAGCGAGACCCCGTGGCGGCTCGAGGTGCTCGAGGATGCACGAAGGGTGCTCGAGGATCACCCACGGACGGAGAGCAAGAACAACGAGCCCCTTACGGGCCCGAAAGTGTCCTGCATGTCGACGTCTTCGCAGCGCTACCCGTAGGTCTCCTCTGGTCCTCCTTTTTATCCCCCTTTCCCCCCTACTCCCTACTCTCACTCTTCCCCTCCTTCCCCCTCCTCCTCCGACTCCTTACTCCCCGCATGCTCTGCCACTTCCTCCTCCTCCTCCTCCTCCTCCTCCTCCTCCTCCTCCTCCTCCCCCTCCTCCTCACCAGAACGCTGGCGTCGTGATGATTTCGCGACGTGGACCCTGCGGGTCTGGACATTTTCCCTGCGACCGACGGTTCATCCCGAATCGTTTTTGAAGCCCTGGAAACCGAAAACTGACAAAAACCTTCCGTCGTGATTTCTGCACGTCGCGAAGATGTCAGGCTTCTCCCGTGCTCCTCCTCCTCCTCCTCCTCCTCCTCCTCGTCCTCCTCGTCCTTCTCCTCCTCCTCCTCCTCCTCCTCCTCCTCCTCCTCCTCCTCCTCCTCCTCCTCTCCCCCTTTCTGCGCAGGTCAATGCGACGAGGTCTCTGGACGTCTCGGGAGGCATTTGGAAATTCTCTGGGTGCCCCTGGAAGCCTCACAGAAGCATCCCAGGTGCCCCCGCGGAGGCCTCCAGTCGTCTGGAGGCAAGCCAAAATAAAGCGACCAGCACAAAATCAACATGCAGAGCAGAACAATCTCGTCCTCCTCCGACCCCTCCTCCTCGTCGTCCACATCCTAGTCCTCGTCCTCCCACTACCCGTCCGCCTCCTCATCATCGTCCCCCTCCCTCTTCATCCTGGTGCTTCGTCCATTCCTCCCCCTCCTGCTCCCCCTCCTGCTCCCCCTCCTCCTCCTTCTCCATCCTCCCCCCCTCCTGCCAGCCTCGATCTCCTCCTCATCCTCCTCCTTCTCCGCCCCTTCCTCCTCCTCCTCCTCCTCCTCCTCCTCCTCCCCTCCTCCTCCTCCTCCCCCTCCTCCTCCTCCTCCCCTCCTCCTCCTCCTCCTCCTCCTCCTCCCCCTCCTCCTCCTCCTCCTCCTCCTCCCCCTCCTCCTCCTCCTCCTCCTCCCCCTCCTCCTCCTCCTCCCCTGCTCGTCCCGCTCAGCGCCCGATGCGAGCGCACAGGGCGGGCAGCGCGGGCGTTCTTTGCGCTGCTGTCCGCCCCACTGGAGGTCGCCCCCCCCTTTGCGCCGCAGCGGCGGCCGTCAGAGTACGGATGGGGAGAGGAAGACGGGGTGATGAGGGGCGGAAGGGGGAAAAGGGAGGAAGAGCGGAAGGCAGAGAGAAGGAGAGAGCACGACAGGGGAAGGACCCCCATCTGCGAGGGAGGGAGGGGGGGGAGGAGGGAAGGAGGGCGCAGAAAGAGGAGGAAACCTCTTCGCCCTCCTCCTTCCTTTCTCCCTTTCTTCACCTTCATCCTTTCTTTCACTCCCTCCCCTCCCTCCGACACGTTTGCTTGTTCCGCCCTGTCTTCCCTCCTTATCTGTCCTTCCCTCCCACCCCTACCTTCCTCACTCCCTGCCTTCTCCATCTCCGTTTCGCCTACGATTTCTTCACAATCGACGATCCTGAGTTTTAGAAAATGCACGGGTTTTACGGATGGGGGGGCGGCCCGTATTCAAAAGGTGGCTCTCGCCTCAGCGCCGTGCACATTCGCCTTGACAGGTTGCAGAAGCTTCGCGAATGGAGGGCGGCCGCCTTCAAACTGTGGTTATTGCCTTAGCGCCGCGCTTATAACAGCTGAGTTTCGCGGATGGATGGCGGTCCGCTTTCAAAAGGTGGCTCTCGCCTGAGCGTCGCGCAAATTCGTCTTAAAATTTCGCAAGAGCTTTACGGATGGCGGGCGGCTCCTGTTCAAACTGTGGCTCTAGCCTTAGCGCCGTGCGCTCTCGTTGTTAGAATTTGCAGCATGCTCAGGGGTTATCATGGTTAGCGTCCCAGAAAGGGTGGTTTGGTACGACGGCGGAATATCAGGGCGCAACACTCAGTTTGATTCGCGGCATTGAAATCCGAAGAATGCTGTCCTGGCACGATCTGCAACAATCACTACGCAGCAGTAGCGGTGATTCGCGGCGTTGATGTCCCAATAATGTTGTTCTGGCACAGTTCGGGATGTTCAAACGGCTGTCTTCCCACGGGGCATTTCCCGCAGTGAAGATGAATCCGTGTATGGGGCCTTCGAAAAAGGAACCTGGACGGAGGGTGTATTGCAATACCCTTGGTGGGCCTTGGGTTTACACTGGTCCTTTCCCTCCTTCCCGTCATCCTATACAGTCGGGCCGCTGAAAGAAGGAACGCTAAATAAGGAACGAAGCCCCTTCTTGGCCCTGTAAGCGCCTCCGTGCCCCAGGAGGGCAAGAGGAACAGCACTGGAGGAACCTCAGGAACATCGAGCCCCTGCCGAACCCAAACTGTTCCTTATTTCAGCGTCTTGGCTGTATACCCCCCCACGCGCCGATGCCTTGGACCCACTCGCGTCGCGATCCAAAACCACAGCGGCAGTTCGTTCTGCACTTTCCGCCTCGGGGGGACCCTATGATGGGCCCCAGGGCCGTGGAAAGGACCCTCGCGAGGGACCCAGGCATATGCAGTTGTGTGTGCGGCGCTTGCGGGTATCGCCTTCACTGGACCTCCCTCTGGGGCCACGGAGCGCGTGAGGGGTGTGCCGAAATGGGCCTGCGGGCGTACGCTGGCCCTGCCAGCGGGTCCTCTGGTGGAGTTCTTCCTGGGGGTGTCGGAACTTCCCATGGGGCCACAAAACGATTGAGAGATTTGCCGGCGTGGGAGCTTAGGGACGCATGCGAGCGCCTTCGACTGGGGCCTTCTGTGCAGCGCCCTATGGGGCCACGACACGCGTGAGGGGTGTGCCAGAATGGGCCTCGCGACGCACGCATGCTGTGCCACTGGGCCCTAGCTGGGGTTCCCCAGGGGACCCAGGCAGCGTGTGACAAGGGCGCCGAAATTGGCTGGAGGACCGCATGCGGTACCCCCTCCCCCCCTGGGACCTTAGTTGGAGCTCCCTTCCAGGCCGCAAAACGTTTGAGAGTGCGTCGACAAGGCCAAGGGTGTCCGGACATGGCTGGGGGGCCGCGTGAGGTCCCCCCTCCCCCCCTGGGCCTCACTCGGGGCTCCATTTTATTTCTTGTCGGCGATACTATGGAGGGGAGGACGGGGAGCGGAAGCAACAGCACAACGACAAGACCGGCGTCGAAATTGTGAAGCCATTGAGCTACCTCGAACGCCGTGCGCACGAATGGAGCTAGAGCGTCCGCTCGCATACACGCGCTGTCCTGCGAGAGATGCGTTATAGCAATGGCCAATAGCGCAATCGCTCCGACACAGGTGTAGGGGAGAGGGAAGCAAAGAAAAAGGATAATAATAGGAGAAGGGTGAGGAGAGGACCAACAAAGCGTCGATTCAGTTTCAATGCCGGCATGCATGCAGCGCCATGAACTCTCCCACCGCCTTGTGCAAACATACAGCATTGATTACAAGAAACCCGCTCAACATCAGGTGTCCCGATCGCCTTCCCGAAGATACAGTGCACCGTATGATAGGCAAGAACTATCATCCAGAAGTGCACGGCATCTTCGCGCCATGAGCGGGTCCTCATGGCGGCGGCAGGGCAAGCCCAGCCACTGGGCTCGGGTGGGCCGCCAGCGGCCAGGCGGGAGCCCAGCAGATGCACACCATGGACTCTCAACCACCAATTCTTCAACTGGGGAGCGGAAAGAGAAGCCGAGGGAGGAAGCGAGGAGGCGTGGGCGGAGGGGGAGACGGAAACACAAGAGCACAACAAGTGCTCGGCTTCTCCCTGCCTCTGGTGCCGCTCGCGCGAAGGCTCCACGCAGAAACCGTCCTCGATGACCGTCTCAGCTTGGAGCGCGCGCCCGGCCTCCTGGCCCTTGTGCCAGGAGCAGGGCCCCCTGTTGACGGCTTGTGCCACGTGCCGGCTCCTTGCACCAGCTGGTTCATGGCGTGCTGCTCGTCATCCGCCGGCGCGTCGCCCCGCGGGCTCGCAGGCCGCAAGTCATGCACCGTGGGGCTCAGGGCACGGGTCGCCAGGGCTGTCCACCGTACGTGAAGGTCTTCCATGCCTCTGGCCGCAGGCATCCACTCGTAAAGGTGCGTCGCTGGCGGTGGCCGCAGCTGCAGCCGCCACGCTGCCCACGCGCCCAAGTCGGGGCAACTCAGTGCCCCACCTGGTCTGTCAAGGGGCAGGTGCATCCGAACACGCAGCGATAGCAACCAGCCCGAAGGGATCCCATCCTGATGTCTGTGGTCCATCTTTTGAGGATGGTGCTGAGCATGGCCGCTCACACCACCGTTGGAACCAATGAGCGAAGCCGACGGAGATAACGCGCAATCCGCGGCGCTGCGTGTCCTGGTGACGCCAACGTGCGCCACCGCGACGTCCGCTGGCGGATCCTCGTCGCCCAGCTGCGCGTGATGCTTTCAGGAGCATAGTTGAAACACAAGATCCCCGACACCGTCGGCAAGTGCGTGTCGAACAATGGCTTCCAGTCCACCAAGCAGTGCAGGTGCATCGTGCGCCCGTTCGCAGGCACCAAAGCTCGTTCAAGCTGGCGCCAACGGATGCCCGCGCCCGTGGCCTCCTGTTCTCGCAGGCGCAACATGGCCCCTTTGCAGGACACTGCCTCTCAGGAAACCTTCCTTGGAACTCCCCATGGGGTTACGACGCGTGCGAGGGGTGTACCAACATGGACGGGCGGAGGGCAGAGGGAGGGACGAGAGGAAGGAGGGAGGTGGAATGTGAGTTAGGTGACGTGGGGCGCCCCCGGTTCGAAAGATGTCCCATGGAATGGGTCGAGGCTTCCGGGGGTCCAAGTTGTGAAGAAGGCCCCTCGTCGGGGGCCTGGGTAAGATGGAAAAGGGGGCTGGGACCTTAAGATGGACACGGAGGATGAGGACCGAGGATCGAGGTTCTGACATTTCAGCACGCGTTCGGCCATCTGTTCTGGGGCCACGGTTGGGTCCACCTAGAAAGCCTGGCCAAAGCGCGACCCTGAACTGGTCTGGGACCGATTTCCAAAGGATGAGGAAAGATGAGAAGGCGGAGGCGGATGAGGAGGAGGAAAAGGAAAAGAACGAAGAGGAGAGAGGAGGCGGAGGAAGGGGGAGGAGGAGGAGGAGGAGGAGGAGGAGGAGGAGGAGGAGGAGGAGGAGGAGGAGGAGAAGGGAATTGTCATCCTCCTCTTCCCCTTATGTTTCTCCTCCTCCCGCAACTCCTCGGGGACGGGAAGGTGGAGCAGGTATGCGGACGAGGAGAGGGGGCGAAGAGGACGAGAGGGGGAGCGACCGTACCTTCCAGTTTTGTATTGGCTTTTTAGGGGGGGGTCGCGTTTAAGGCTCCGGGTTTAGGTCATAGCAGGGAGGAGGGAGGGCGAGGGCGGCGGTGGATGAGGGAGAGGATGGGCAGCAGGGAGCGGAGGACGAACGAGAGAAAGGATGAGACGGAGGATGGCGAGGAGGAGAGTTAGGAGGAAGAAGAGGAGGAGGAAGAGGAAGAAGAGCGAGAGGAATAGGAAGAGGAGGAGGAGGACGAGGAGGAGGAGGGGAGGAGGAGGAGTTGGATCCAATGCCCAAGCAGAACGCGCCCGGCGAACGGGCGGGGCAGCTGGTCAGGACGCGCACCGCGAGTCCTCCCAGGGGGCACGCGCGCCAGCCCCCCCGCCCCCCCCAGAGCGAGTCCCTGCCCCTCCTCGGCCTCGCCGACCCTCTTCGGCCTGAGGGAGGCGGGCAACGTCAGTCGGCAGCGAGTCGGGAGCCGGGGTCGGATCGAGCGGAGCCGGGTCGGGCCGCGCGGGCACGGCAAGGAAGCCGAACCGCATCGGATGCGCCAGGATGCACGGCATCGCCAGGCAGGCATCGGGCCGCATGGGATTGCCAGACTACCAAGATACGGGGCTCGAATCGGATCGGGCTGGGCGGAATCGAATTCTAGTCGGATCGACCGGATCGACGCGGGCCCCGTCAACGTCCCCGCCGTCCCTTGGCAAAAAGAGATTGTGTAGGAAACGGGTCCTGGACATCCCGAGTTTTCTCCACGGGACTGGCCTTCTTCCCGAAGCGCATTGTACTCTGAACCCCCTGAGCCCACGGAGGGCACCCAAGGGCCTGAGGACCCTGGGACCGGTGCAAAACCTCAGGGCCCTTGGCCCCCACGGCCCGCATTTGCTTCATGGCGACGCCTCCTCGTCCTCCCCCTCTCTCCTCCTCTCCTCCTCCTCCTCCTCCTCCTCCTCCTCCTCCTCCTCCTCCTCCTCCTCCTCCTCCTCCTCCTCCTCCTCCTCCTCCTCCTCCTCCCCCTCCGCCTCCTCCTCCTCGGCAGCCCGCCGAGAGTGCAGTGCAGTTGGCGGCAGCCGCAACTGTTGTAATGTTCCTACTTATGAGCGACGGCCCTCGAAGCCAAGAAAACATTGCACGAACCGAAATAGGCTAAAACAGTTGGATGACATAACTGAGACATGTATGGTCTTCAATGGGAACCGAACCCACCAGTCGCTGGAACAATGAGGCGGCGCGAGGGGCACGCCACGTAACTGCGCGCGTCCCCCTGCATAGATAACTCGCCACGGGAACCTCGAACGCCCGTCTTGCGCGCCCACGGCTTCGCCCCTCCCCATCAGTAGAGCCTCGATGGTGCCCCCGCGATTGCAGCGCGGGCAATGCTGTGGCTGTCGCTCGCACAGGAAAACCAAGAAGAAAGGGGGAAGCAAGGGAACGCCCCAGCCCCGCCCCGGCCCCTGCATGGGCCAGCTCTGGCACCAGACCCAGCGCCGCCTGCACGCTGGCCCAACGCCCCCACTTCGCGCCTGCCCGATCCCGGCTCGGCTACAGCCCTGGCCCAGCTGTGGCTCGAGACGAGCACCGGCGGCACCGGCTCGCTCCGCGCCCAGCCTGCGGCCGACCCCACACACGCGGCCAACTGGGCCTGGCACCCGGCTCTGCCCTGGCTTCGGGTCTGCCCCCAGCCTGGCTCGGGCAGCGGTCGCCGCTTCCGTGGGCGCTCTGGCAGGTCCAGCGGAGTCGGGGAGTTTGCGGATGCAGACGGGACCTCGCAGCTCCCTGGGTGGCTGCGAAATGCGCAACCGTCGCCGCTTCTGTGGGCTCCTGGGAGGCCCAGCGGAGTCGGGGAGTGCGCGCATCCAGCCGAGCCCTCGCGGCTCCCTGGGTGGCTGCGAAGTGCGCAACCGTTGTCAGTTTGGTAGGCTCCTGGGAGGTCCGGCGGACGGGAGGAGCATGCAGACCCAGCCGAGACCTCGCGGCTCCCGGGGGGGCTGCGAAGTGCGCCAGTGTTGCCACTGTCGTGAACTCCCAGGAGGTCCAGCGGAGCATGTATTCGTCGCAACGTGTGCTTGTGTTTGTCTGGAACGTTCATTGCAATGATCGGCTCGCGTGGGGGAGGGGTGGGTACGTCTCGGGTTTGTTTGCAGATCAACGGTCTGGAAAATCGGAATGCTACGTGAACACCGAATGCTCGCGGTGGCGCCTATTCGTTTCCAGATCAGGCACTTGATACATACATGAAAGATTAGCGCATCGAAACAAGTTAGGAATGGCATAACAAATATGGACATTGAGTGTGCCCCTGGGGACTTGCCACAAGAGAGAAAAAAACGATCACCAAGAGGCTCCGCCAGACCTCCAAATATTTCCCAATGCGCCCACAAAGAGTCCCCAGATAGTGCCCAAGAAGCCTACGACGCCTCAACTGTGGACTCCCCAACTCTCCTGGGGGCCGGCGGCATGACGCAAGTCTCTTGAATACATGGGAAAATAACGCATCGACATAAGTGAAACATGGCAGAACACTGAGTGGCGAATTCTGGAAACCCTGATCCGAGAAACGCTGTCATCTCTTGAGAGGTCGACTTTTGCTTCCGCCGGCCTTCCGCCGGCTTCCGCCGGCGGAGGCGGCCTCGCTGTACTTCTTCCGCCGCCTTTCGCCCCCCTCCCGCCGTCTTCCGCCGAGGAAGAGGGGGCAACTCCTTCGATCCTCGAGGGGGCGGGGGCCTTCTCGGAACGCCCCGTGTGGACAACGAGTGCGCCCCCGGGGCATTGCCGCAAGAGAGCCAACTCACGCGACGACCCCCCGGGCCCAGCCAGCAGCCACCTGGCCGACAACGCCCAGCTTGAGCAGGGACCGACCGTCCCAGTATTCCTGTAGGCCTACGACGAAATTTTAGTAGAACCCCCAAATGTTCCAAGAACAAAAACAATGTTCTTAGACCATGAACCCGACGTGTTGAAGCAATACAGTCCCAGCCAGAAGTGTCCTAAGAACACTTCGTGGAAACCACAGGAGGCTCTGAGAACATTGCTTGGTAAGCCGATGGGCAAGCCAGGACGCTCCGCCACTGCTTGACCAGCGCCGCCGGCGCCCTGCGCTAGAACGCCCGGCCGCTGACGCGCCCGGCCGCCGGCGCACGACCGCGCGGCCGCGGGAGTATGCCTCTCCAGGAGCTGCAGGCCCTCACGGGGGCCTCTCCCGGGACCCGCCTCCCTGCCCAGACCCCCCCTCGAGCTGCGAGCACAGTCACGACGGGGAGCTCTTCGCTACATTTTCGGCCCTCTGGGGGGCCCTCCCCGGCCCTCGGGGCGGTCCAAGATCGGCTCGGGAAGAACAACCGGTCTGGGGGAACGGGTCCATACCGCTGGGAGCCCACGCCATGAGAAATGCAGGACGTCGGGGGTCTGGGTGGGAGGCGCAACCTTCGCGCGTCTTCGTGGCCAGTATCTAGGGCACTCCACCGAAGGCCCCGCGCCTCCCGGGGCCCTCCTGCGCCTCCCAAGGCCTGCCTCGGCTACGCGCAAGAGGGACACTATAGGCAGGAGTCGCAGGGCGGCCCCCCCTCCACATCCTCCTCCCCCTCCTCCTCCTCCTCCTCCTTCTCCTCCTCCTCCTCCTCCTCCTCCTCCTCTCCTCCTCCTCCTCCTCCTCCTCCTCCTCCTCCCCTCCTCCTCCTCCTCCTCCTCCTCCTCCTCCTCCTCCTCCTCCTCCTCCTCCTCCTCTCCTCCTCCTCCTCCTCCTTCTCCTCCTCCTCCTCCTCCTCCTAGATCTAGAAGGATCTAGAGAGCTGCGCGTGCGGATTTAAAAGGGGGGCGCAGGGTGCCCCGATCTAAGCGCGTCAGCAGCCGCTATCGCACCGCACTCAGCGAGATCGGGGGGACCCCGATGCGCCCGCACCCGTGGCAGGGAACCCCACCGCAGGCCCCGCGCCTCGAGGCCCCGTTCGAGAGTTCCACCGGAAGCGGATTCGGCGGGGCCCCGTGAGCGGGCCCCTGCCGGCGACTCCGGACCCCGCGCAACATGCCAATTCGTGGCGCGCCCCCGCGGCGAGCGCCCCAAAAGAAGAACCGTGAGCCATTCCGAAGTTCATGGTGAGGCGCATCTTCGCCCGTGGTTGCCGCAGCCATCGGCGTTCCCGGTCAGGCAGCGACTACGTTACGCAAAGATCGGCCCATCTCAAATTACCTTTTCTATGCGTGGTGTGATTCCCGACCGTCCTGTGGTGTTGGGTCCTCGTTTTGAAGAGACAGGGCCCCGCCTCTCCTTCCTCCTCTCTTCCTCCCTCCTCCCATGCCTGCCTCGGCCCTCCGCATGTCCTCGTCGGATTGATCCTCCTGAGCTTATTCCTGCTCCTCCTCCTCCTCCGCCTCCTCCTCCTCCTCATCATCATGATCATAATCGTCGTCATCAGCCCATTTCGGCACAACCCCCACACGTTTCGTGGCCCCGCAGGGAGCTCCGCCGACGGCTCCTGTGGCAGCGCTCGCATGCGTCCCAAATCCCATTTCGGCACACCCCTCACACGTGTCCTGGCCCCGCAGGGAGCTCCGCCGAAGGCTCCTGTGGCAGCGCTCGCATGCGAACTCCAGCCCATTTCAACACTCCCTCACACATTTCGTGGCACCGCAAAGCGCTGCGCTGAAAGCTCTTGTGGCAGCGCTCGCACGGGTCCCAAAACCAATTTTGGCACACCCTCAAACGCTTCGTGACCCCGCAGGGAGCTCCGCCGAAGGCTCCTGTGGCAGCGCTCGCATGCGTCCCCCAGCCAATTTTGACACACCTTCACACGTTTCGTGGCACCTCAGGGAGCTACACCGAAGGCTCTTGTGGCAGCGCTCGCATGCGTCCCCCAGTCCCCCAGCCCATTCAGGCACATCCCTCACACGTTTCGTGCCCGCAGAAGGGAGCTTCGCCGAGCTCCTGTGACAGCGCTCGGGTGCGTCCCGCAGCCCATTTCGGCACACCCTCACACGTTTCGTGGCACCACACAAGGAGCTCCGCCGAAGGCTCCTGTGGCAGCGCTCGCATGCGTCCCCCAGCCAATTTCGGGACACCCCTCACACGGTTCGGAGCTCCACCAAAGGCTCCTGAGGCAGCGCTCGCATGCGTCCCCTAGCTCATGTCGGCAAACCACTCACACGTTTCGCGGGAGCTCCGCCGAAGGCTCCTGTGGCAGCGCTCGCGTCCGTCCCCCAGCCCATTCAGGCACACCCCTCACACGGTTCGGAACTCCACCGAAGGCTCCTGTGGCAACGCTCGCATGCACATATTTCGGCACACCCCTCACACGTTCCGTGGCCCCACAAAGGAGCTCCGCCGAAGGCTCCTGTGGCAGCGCTCGCGTCCGTCTCGCGGCCCATTCTAGCACACCGCTCACAAGTTTTGTGGCCCTGCGGGGAGCTCCACCGAAGGCTCTTGTGGCAGCGCTCGCATACATCACCCAGCCCTCTTCTGCACACCCCTCACACGGCTTGTGGCCCTCATCCGCATGTCCCTTGTCCCGTCCTTCCCGCGGCGTGCTACCTACGGGGAGGTGATCATACACTCCATGATTCGCAGCTGCACTTGGTTGGTCCTTCGCCAGGCTAATTCATATGTTGTCCGACGGTCTACGTTCATGGCTCATTGTTCTGCGATTTTGAAGCGGTTCAAGATGGCAGCGACTGTCCAGATTAGGAAATTGTTCAAAGGAACTGGCAGCAGCAGCAGCTGGAGCAGGTGGTAAGAGGCGGGGCCTCCTTCTTGCGAGCGTGCGGCTGCCTGCCAGCGCTCTCTGCGAGTTTCGAGCGAGCCAGTCGGACTCTTCCTGCTGGTCGTCAACCTGCTCCTCCTCCTCCTCCTTCTCCTCCTACTCCTCAGTCTCCTCTTCGTCCTCGTCCTCGTCGTCGTCGTCGTCATCGTCATCCACCTCCTCCTCCCCCTCCTCCTCCTCCTCCTCCTCCTCCTCCTCCTCCTCCTTCCCCTCCTACTCCTCCGTCTCGTCTTCGTCCTCGTCCTCATCGTCGTCGTCGTCGTCGTCATCCTCCCCCTCCTCCTCCCCCTCCTCCTCCTCCTTCTCCTGCTGAACTAAAGGAGCAGAACACGACAACATAGACGTGAACATTCAGAGCTCCGCGCAGATGCCTTGGATCTGCACTGAACCCCCCTCCCTGGCGCGCGGAGCGGGCCTGGTGCGGCGCCAGAGGCGCCGCCATGGGGCTCCGCCGCAGTCCAAGACATCCTCGCGGAGCTCCGAGAGGTGATGTTTATGATCTACTTCTCATTCGGTGAACTTCAACTGGCCTGTCCCCAGGGGCCGGGGCTCGCCCCCAGGGGCATGCGCTGGCCGCGGTGAGCGCGACCCGGGCGGGCGGGCGGTGTGGGCCCGCGGGGGCGGCGGGCGGCTGAGTGGGCCGAGACTGAGCGGAGCCCCCAAAAAAGCATCCTCCGCTTCCCCAGTGGGACGAGCCTGGACGGGGATCCGAGATGCCCGAGCCTTGACGGGGAGCCTCCGCAGAAGCTGGCGGCAGCCCTGGCTTGTGATGTATCGCCTTGGCGCGTTTTCCGCATGCGGCAACGATGGCCCTGGCGCAAGGGCATCGCATCGCATCCTGTTTTGGCTGTGTGTGGGAAAAGAGAAAACGACAGGGGCGGCGCCGGAGGCGCCGCCAGGGGGTCCAGCGCCGATTCAAGAAACCTGCGCGGAGCTCAGGAGGTTTACGTTTATGCAAATGTTTCTTCCTCGAACATGTGCAAATTCTCATCATAGTACTCCAGCTCGCTTTGATTCCCCCCGATGACTGTGGCCCGTTGCTTTGCCCTGCGAAGCCTGGAGGCGAAGGTGCTGCCGCCATGTGCAGGCATGTGCTGGCACTGCCACATGGTCGTGCTCGTATTCGGAGCACGGACTCTCCTCAACTGCCGCCTGCTCCTCAGCCGCCACCACCACCACCTCCTCCTCCTCCTCCTGCTGCTCCTCCTCCTCCTCCACCCCTGACTACCAAATACTTTGCATACTCCTCCTCCTCCACGGCATTTCCCCCCCTTTGAGACACCGCGGTCCGTCCCGTGACTGCACCCCCACCCTCAACGGAGCCGCACCAGCCCCTGTCGCCGGGGCGGCTGGGGGGACGCCCCCTCCCAGCCGCTCGGCGTCTCCGTCCGTAGCCGAAGGCCAAGACACGTAAGACGAAGGCAAAGTCGAGACACAATCGACCGATCTGGATCGGGAGCCTCTGAGAACCGGCCGGCTTGAAGGGTGTATCGGGCGCCGCGGCCGTTCCGGAGCGTGCTGGAAGGCTCCGAGAGCGGTCCGGAACGCGCCGGAACGGACTGAATCTCGATTCGAAGCCCGTCCGAACACGGGCGCCCGACGGTGGCGCGGTGGGGCCTGCTGCGCGGGACCCCCGACAGGAGTTGGAGGTGATCTGGCGGCCCTCCGAGAGGCGCCGCCAGGATTGCCCGTGGCACGGTGGCCACGGCCACAGGTAAGAGCCGCCGGTTGCCCCGTGAGTTGCCCGGCGGGTTGTCCCGCAGTCCCATTTGTCTGTTCATCCTCCTCCTCCTCCCCCTCCTCCTCCTCCTCCTCCTCCTCCTCCTCCTCCTGTTCATCCTTATCCGACCTACTGCCTCCGCATAATCTGCACTATCCTGCCGACGTCTTCCTCCACCTCCACATTCCCTTCTGCTTCCGCATGCTATTCCCGCCTCCTCCTCCTCCTCCTCCTCCGCCTCCTCCTCCTCTTCGTCTTTGTCCTCCTCCTCCTTCCCATCTTCCTCCTCTTCCTCCTCCGCCTCTTTTCCTTTGTCCTCCTCCTCCTCCTCCTCCTCCTCCTCCGACTTCTCCTCATCCTCCTACGCCTCCTCCTCCTCCTCATCCTCTTCGTCCGACTTCTCCTCATCCTCCTACGCCTCCTCCTCTCCCCTTCCCCCCTTCTGCCCGATGTCCCGCCTGCCTTCTCAATCTTGCCAACGCCCGCTTCCCTCTTCCTCTCGGGATCCTTCTAAGTGTTGCCGTTCCGCTTGTCCCCTTGTAGCCGTCCTCGCGTAGCTCCTCGCGCAGCTGGAGAAACAGGAGATGCATATAGCAAGGTCGGCACCCCGATTTCTCCAAGAGAGCCGTCGCAAGGCCATGGCACGGGGACCTTGGGACCCACTCGGAGGCGTTTCGTCATCCCTCGTAGCAGTCTAGGTGCGGTGTGGAGTGACGGAGGAGTAAGACGTCGTGCTGATCCGATTAAGATTTTCGTGTGGACTCCTCCTCATCCTCCTCTTCCTCCTCCTCCTCTTCCTCCCTGTTCGGTCCATCGTTTTTTTCGGGGGATGGAACTCCCAGACCGTACCCACCTGAGGGTCCAATCGCACCTCAGCAGCAGATGCAGTCAGGCTACTGGCATAAAGAAAGGAACGCAGGGAGCGAAGCCCCTGTTTACCCACAAGAGCGCCTGGGTGAACCAGGAGCGCTAGGCCGCTGGAGGAACAACCATGGGGGGGCCTAAGAAACAGCGAGCCCCATCCAAATCCGAACTGTTCTGTAGTTCAAAGTGTTGGGTGTACAGCGTGTGAAATCGCACGGAGACAGGAGCAAGCTGAATCCTCTGCGCCCAGGTGGCAAAATACTAGGGATCAGCAGCGGACGGCTGGTTGTCTCGGCCGCGCCTCGCCAGTCAAGGGCCCATGCGCATGGCTTACATAGTGCCAGGACCAGCGACGTGAGCAACGACTCCGCGCATCACCACGCAAGCCTTACCCCCAGGAACAGACCGGAGAGGAGGGGGCCGAGGAAGGCAGACAGAGCCAACACGTAGACACGTTCGCTGACGAGGCGGCCCAACCGCCCAAGCCCATAGAACTCGCGCTCGGGACTCGTGCAGCCGGGCGGCATCACAAAACAGCAACCTCATCGCTCCCTACGGATCTTGGGGACGTCGACGACGACAGACAATAGGAGAGCGACGAGGAAGCAAGAAGAACGGAGGCGGAGCCCAATCGTGAACCCAACAACGAGTGTGGCTCAGACTACTCCTCGGCCAGGCGAGGGGACAGGCATTGCAATGAAAGGGCGGTCGGGGTCGCCGATTGGAGCGACTGCCTTAGAATGACCTCTGCGTGGGCTGGGCTTTGGGGCGCAGGGTCCCTGTCTCTGACAGAGGCCTGCGTACTTCGTTCCCCTTGCACTGGCGAGGGGCAGGATGTGGGAGGCAACAAGGGGCAGGAGGAGGCGAGGGTCAACAGCAGGGGGGAAGTGGCTCAGGAGGCGAAACATCGACCTCTAATCGTTGACACGTCGCCGATAGATCGGCGATAGGCGCGCGCAGCCCTGCTGTTCTGCCCCAGCCTTATATGTTGTAACGCCTCTGGCAATCATCGAGGAACGCTCGAGAGCCTCTGAGAGCATTCGGAGACCTTCGAGCAGCCTCCGAGAATCGCCTTGTCTTCATCCTCCTCCGCTTCCCCTCTCCCTGTTCCTCCGTTTCCCATTATTCCTATCGTGCTTCCCTCCTGCGCATCTCGTTCTCTCCCTCTCTTCTGGGATATGCCACGTTCGAGCCACTTGGAACCCATCAAACACCGTTCAACACCATCCTCCTCCCTCGCCATCCCCCTCCCTGCTCCTCCTCCCTCCCCCCCCTCCTCCCTACTTCTATCCCTGCTCCCTACGCCCTCCTCCCAGCTCACCCCTCTGTTTTCCCTCCGAATCCATCCTTCTCACTGCTCGTCCCTCCTTCGCCTCC